GCGGTTGGAGAGCTGATAGCCAAAGCCATACTTGTTGGAGTAATCCACCCACTTGCTCACCCAGACGAAGTGCTCGTGGCGGGCCAGGGAAGCTGGGTTTTTCTCCGCTGGTGGAGAGAAAGGGGTGAGCAGAGCAAGCAGCCAACCTTGGCCACCTCACCTTCCCAGGAGGGAACAGACCCTGCAACAGGCTCTGGTACCATTTAAGGCACTATTTGTAGCCCAAATAGCAGCCATGCCTTCATCCCACAGGAAAGGGGATGCATAGCATCCCATCTCATCCCAGAGCAGCCCAACTGGTTTACCTGGGGGCATGGAGGAGAGGCAGGTCCGCAGGAGTCGGACAGCTGACTCGATGACGGCAGAGGCAGTGATGCAGTCTTCAAAGGCTGCAGAAGGCAGATGACAGGTTGAGTCAGCCAGCCCTGCTATCAGCCTAGGCAGGACAGGAAGCCCAGGGCAGGCTGGGGCAGATATTGCTCACCCTCACAGGTGCTAGCCATTGTCCCCTGGACGGAGGGGGACACAGACTTGTGAGATGTCTCCTCCATCACTGTCTCCACAGGGCTGGAGCTGGCAGTCCGGCATGGTACGGGAGTGGCCTGCAGAGAGACCTGGCTTTATCACTGTCCTGCCTTGCTCCCCCAAAGAGGGGTATGCTTGGCCGCAGAGATGTTCTCACCTCATTTCCTTCCACAGTTTTATAGCTCATCTGCCGACAGATTGAGGTCTTCATCAGTCCAGTGACCAGCTTGGAGATGTCATCCCTGTCCTCCAAAGAGGCCTTCTTGGCTGAGAAGAGAGCAAGTGATGAGCACACTGCTAAGCACAGGGGATAGGGACCTCCAGGCCACCCCTCCCAGTAGCTCAGCTCTCCCTTGTCTGCTCCCATGTCCATGGTGGCAAGGATGGTGTCAGATAGCTGCCTCCCACTTTCACTTCCCAGTTCTCATGCAACACAGGGCTTCCAGGAGGAACTGCCCCATGGGTTGCAGCACAGCATCCGCTCTCCAGGCACACACCCATGCCAGGCCACCAGCACAAGAAGGGCAGGGGCAAGCCCAGCTGGTGCTGTCCTTGGGCAGGGCATTTACAGGGGCACACCAGGAGGCCTCTCCAGGAGACAGGACCCACTTCTCCCTGCATGAAGGGCAACCCAGAGGCTCCTTAGCCTGTGCATGAACTCACCCTTGGGCTTCTTCTTCCCAAATAGTGTCTTGGTAACTTTAGCAAACAGAATCTTTGCAGGGTTGGGGGGACTCAGCTCTGGAGCCATCACACAGCTGCTGGGAGGGAGCTTCTCAGGCGTGTAGCCCTGTAGAGAGGTCAAGAAAGAGTATTAGTTTCCACAAGCCACGTGCTCTGGGCAGAGCAGCTGCCCCGGGATGACCACAGTCATTCACATCCCTCCTGACAGCCAGCTTGTGTTTCCGTCAAGCCTCGGCACTACGACTGGCATCAGCATGGGAAACAACCCCTTGCTGTAGCAACAAGGCAGCAGGAGAACACCAGATCCCTCAGTTCCCCTGGTTGGCATTTGGGCAGGACAAGGGCTGCATGCTTTGAAGGACTGACTTGGGCTCCAAGGACAGCACCCTGCACAGCCCAAAAAGCCTCATACCACTTGGAGAAGGGTCCCTAGACCCAGACCCCCCACCCACTCACCTTGAAGAACTCATGGTCCAAAATCTCCTCGAGGGTGAGGCGGTCCCGGGGGTTGCGTTTGAGGATGCCAGCAATGAGGTTCTTGGCAGGCAGGGAGAGGAAGACAGGGAGGGTGTACTCCACTTGCTTGATACACCTGTAGGTCTCCTTGAGGTCAGAGGTCTCAAAGGGAGGGTTCCCACACAGCAGGGTGTACCTGGGAGGGGATATGCATGCCACTGTCACATTCCCAACCAGGCTTGTGATTCAGCAAGGAAGCTATTGGCATTTGGCTGGCCACACCTGGCTGAGAGCATCACTTCCAGCCTGGACAGCCACGCTTACATCCGGCCACACTTCCTCCTCGCAACTGCTTAGAGCAACAGGCAAGGTGCCCTGGGGAAGGACAGAGGGCTGGCAGGCAAAGGCCACTCTCTGCCACCACTGCTCCCACCCCTGTGTGGCCAGCGGGGCAGAAAAGAGAGCAGGAAGCTTGCAGGCAGCAGCCAGACAAGGGGCTGGATGTGCCAAAGCAGCACAGCAATCGCTCCCTGAGCAAACAGAGTGGCAGCCACAGATTTTTCCATTGTTTATCAGGTTCAAATGACA